CAAACAAACAATTAGTATTTGGAAGGACAGTGTTCTTCATAAATATAAAGGTCATATCTACACTAGAAGACACTTGAAAATTAAAATGCTTGCTCAAAAGTAAAGGCTTAGTTCATGACTACAGATACCCAGGAACTGTGTTCCTCATGCTGTAACTTAGGCAGCAGCCTAAGTGCCAGAAATTGGTTTCTTGCGCTCTCATTCCCCATTTTATCACGTACCCTTTTAAAATATGCACCATCGATAAGGAGTTGCAGGTTGATGCTTTAGCTAGAGCGGATTGAAAAGATCATGTGACTTACACTCCTGCTATTGCCTGTGCTATATCATATAATCCTTTTCAGAATTTTTTGCTTCATTCTTAAAATCTTTAGATTTGTTATTCCCACAGTCTTGTTTGGAAATGCATTCTAGAACATCATTTTTGATTTCAAAGATACTTCCACTAACTCAGCCTAAATGTTTTCCTGTTTGCTGCTGTACCAAAACAGCCCTCTCTTGGGGAAGCTCTCTGTTGGGATGAGTTTTCTCTCTTGGGACTTCAGAGATTCTAAGCACAGGAGAAGGTTGTCACACCTCTTTTCAGTGGCTGGTTTATGTAGTCTAAAGAAATCATGCTGCCTTAGGCGTTTCTTGTTAGAATCCACTCCCCTGCTTATTGTAGAGGCTTTTCAGGTTGTGATTTGTCTTCTGTGAATGCTGTAATCAAGCTTGTATACCACTACTGCTGGAAATAGAATAAGCTGACTTTTTAACACACTGATCAGATTGGTAATTCAGCATTTGTTTCTTTTATTGCCTCTTTATATTGGGGCTCTTGGTCATTCCCTAATGAAGAACTCCTGGCTTGCAACTGAAGTTATACGTGCTCATTCTCATTCTATAATTTTCATTTATTTTATTATTCCAAATCTCATGCATATTCTGATCTTACCTTCCAAAAATGTTATTATTTCCTATTTGTATGTCATCTGTTGTTATGGCAAATCCACTAATTAGGTTTTCAGAAAAATTCAGCTGATAAGCTCTCAAATGTTAAAGCTTCCTATCTATAAACAACCTTTTGTTGTTACTTAGCCAGATATTTTACTATTGAACATCTTTTGCACCTTCCACTAATGAATTAAACAGCCATTATATCAAGTGTTGAAGACCAGATAAATGAGAGAACTTTTCTAGCCAAATGAAGTGCAGTATATTGCATTAACAGAAACCAGAAACCATAAATTCGGTCTAATATCTTTGGCAGAACTATAGTCTCATGATCTTGTGTTCTGCTGTCTTCAAAACTTGTTTGAAAGGCCTTTCATACTACCAGGTGAAGACTATCACACTTTTTTTCCTCCAGCTAATGTTTTGGTTTTTCTTATAAACAAATTCTACATTTGCTGTTCTCAAATAATAATAGTAGGTATTTTGTCATTTCAAATGGCACATTAATTTCACAGAGATTTGCAATTTGCTTCCACATCAGCTGAGAGAACTTCATGTTAGTTGATTTGGCATTACTCATCCCTGATCATTTATCTATCTTGTCTTTGTTTCAAGGAGTAGTACTATTTATGTGCATTAACACAGAAGTTAAAAGTTCACTTAGTTTGACTGCGTTGAGATCATGATACATGTCTAGCAGTAGTCACTGTTCTGTTTGTAATACTGTCTTTCATTCCTCGTCCCCCACCCTTTTGTACATCCAAATTTTCAGTTTCTGATTTAATTTCTTACGGTTTATCAAAAGTTTCCTTTTTTGAAATTGGCAGTCTGGTTGAGAGTACTAATGTTTAGAATGTCATTTAACATAAAAATCTGACCACAAATACTAAGTGCTTATTAACACCAGTTCATCTGAAGTCTCCTGTTATTTATAAAAGCAAAATGTAAAATCCAGAATATTGCCTTTATACACAGGAAATTTGTTTACCGATGCATGATATGACTATTCTTCAGCATTCATAAGTGGATGGAGCTTATGCCAGTCTCTTTTGTATATACTTTTCATGGTGTGACCTACTCTAATTCCTTTTTCCCTTCATCTGTTCTGTTTCTTGTAACTGGTCAAAAATTATGAAAAGTTTAGGTATCTTTGTATTAAGTTTGCCTGCTCATCCCTAATGTGACTTTATTTGTTCATTGTATCGTATTCATTTCTCTGTCTGTGCCTCTCAGCTTGCTTGGGGCTTGTCAGCAGTGTAAGAATCAATAATATTGTTCTATGGAAGAAGAAAGTTATTTTTGTCTTCGTTATTATCTTTGAAAGTGGCCAAAATCTGTTGAGTAACACTGGTCTAAATTGTGGCACCTGCAACAGGATGAGTCTTACTGTAACCTCCTAAAAACACACTCATTTTCAAAGCAGACTGTGCTAAACCAATTCCGCAGTAGAATATTAGTGTGTAATCCAAATTAAAACAAATCGGGCCTGCAGTTAACAGATCAATTAATGATGAAGAATTGTTTTGCCTTTTCAGTTCTGTTTAATATCTATAGTGAATCTGGCTCTTTGCTAAGGCTAATCCAAGCCTTATAAAGCCAGTCGTAAGAGCAAACAGCTTGCAAAGTTGTTGTTTTTTTTTTGCATGCATACATTTGCTGTCTGTTTAATGCTTGGGACCAACTTGGAAAAGAAAGAACGAGGAAGAAAATTACTTGTTGCGGGTGAAAACCCTATCCTTGTGTACAATAGAAGATAATCTAAAAGTGAAGTAAGGATTATGTATTTTATTTCCACTGACAATTTCTGTTGGAATTTTCTCAGTTTAGAAACTTCTGGTAGTTTTCGTCTTTGTTTCCAATTTGTGTCTACAAGTTGCTGTAGGTAATATAAAAAAACAAAAGGCAAATCAAGGACATAGATCGTGAGTGAACTATCTCAGCAAGAACTCTGGGGAAAGGCTGAAATTTCTGTTGATTTTATTTATGAATTTTAATGAAGGGTAACTGAAAATGCAGTTCTCTGTCCAGTTCCCACTTAATCACCTGATGACTTTGATTAAGATGCAGTGCTGAGTTCAGACCTAGCATAAATTTCTTTGAGGAGTTAAAAAATCTCATCACTGTGCTCTAGAGCTTCCTTAATTCATGTGTCATTATATTGTATATTTTGATATTCCAAATCTAGGGTGGTTTTTAGCAGTTGCAGTAATTAGCAGGTAGAGTAGCACACTCAGCAAAAAAGAAGTTCAAGGCTGCATAAACATTTATGAAGTATTGAAGGATTTTTGTCTTTGAATAAACTCTGCCAACTCTTTATTTTTAGTGAAGATCGGATGATATTGTAATATTTCTATGCATAAAATATTCTAACATATTAACTAATTCTATTTATTACAGTCACATTCATTAAACATTTCAGACCAATTTGATGTGTATTAGTTTGGACAAAGTGTATTCACAGACCTTTGATTTAGAAAATAAATTTCATACAGAGCCAACAATAAATCAATGAATAAGCATGTGTAGGATAAGGAGCACAAAGAAAAATAATTATGTTGTATGCTTTAGACAAGATTCTGGCTTTATATATTTGAGTGTGAATCGAGAGAAGCTAATTTACTTGTTTTGCAGGAGCTTCATTTTTTAAGGGCTTTAGATGGAATGTAATTAAAACTGGTATTTCAGAAGTCTTCTGCTGGTTGCTACTCTTGCTCTGCTCCCTTTCATCTTGCACTGGAGAGAACTTTATATATGTGTTGTATGTTATACATAATGGTTTAAATGATGTTGATGTATAATTTAAATTTATCAAGTAGTTACACTGATGATCATCATGTAGAAATCTGTACCAGGTACTGTTCTAGGATTGGTGTGCTCTTATATCAGGTCCGGGTTTAGTCTAATAAATCTAAATGTAATAGAGAACCAGGGCAGAATAGCTTTTGCATTAATAAGTTCCTTTTAAACTTGAACAGTTGAGAGCTTGAATGTGCATTTAACCTCCTACACTTTGTGTGAGTCATAAGTGTTTTACTGTAATGTAAATCTTTTGCATAAAGTAATTATCTTCCCACTCTGTGATGGGGAAATTTATATTAACTTGAAGCCTGAGAGATGTGAATAAAATGTCCACCTACCTGCTGAGTCCAGTCTATAGTTTAGTTTTGGGTTATAACACAGACGTGAACAGAAAAAGAGGCATTCATCAATAGTTCTGTAACATTGCAGTTCTTTGACCTCTATTTCTCGCGCTGTTGAATGCTGCTATCAACTGTTATTAACAGACTGAAATGCAAAGGAAGTTAAAGACTTAAATACATAAAAAGGAAGTAATCTTTCTACCCAGATTTCCATAATGCACCATAAAGTCCGGCAATTTAAAGGCTACAGGTTAGCTTGGATATGAAAAAAGCAAGAGAAAGATTTAGCAGAAGTAGAATTCCGCTTTTAAGAAACATTATGCCACCTACTTTCACTGCATGATTCTCCCCTCTTTGTTCTTTCCTTCTCTTAAACCCTAAGTTCATCCATGGTATACTGTTACATGTGTAGCATATGGCATATGTATCCTCTCATGTCGTATAAATAATTTTTTTTTTCCCAAGGATTTAATGCATCATGAAGATGGGAGGCAACATATGAAATATTTGCAGTACTACAATATTTAACTTTTTGCCATTCAGTTTAATCAGATTTTCCATGTGCAATGCTTAAATCAAAAAGAGATGACCTGTTTCTACTTCAGGAAAGTCTTAAAAGAATTTAACAGTGAAACAGCAGATGCTCACCAGCAGCTGTCTGTCTGCACGCTGAAGGTGTTATCAATAATGCACAAGATAACATCTCCAAGTTGAAAGAACAGAAAGATTGGCATCAGTTTTGCTTAATAGAGCATCATACACAAACTAGGCAGTGATACCTGAAGCACTGACAGCATCCATTACATTAAAATGTATACGCCTCCCATTTGGAAGTGTTATGTAAACTTGACAACACTTTTACTTTTTTTCTTGCTAAAGTCTGATTTCAATTGCACTGAGATTAATATTGTTTTTCTCCTATTCTAGAGGGTGATGAGACAGGAGTAATGGATAGTCTGCTTGAGGCCTTGCAGTCAGGAGCAGCATTCAGAGATCGCAGGAAACGAACACCAAGAGGACAAGGTAAGATGCTTTCTAAAAACCAGTAGTTATAAACTGAGTGGGCAAAAGTTCTTTTGCAAAGATTTACCAACAGTTTTCCCTGAAAACCATTGAGCTACTGTGAAAACTCAGCATGCTCTTTGTGATCACATATTTTTAACTTGATAGTTCTATCTTCAGATAGCTGTGTGCTCTAAGATATGACAAGGGTTCCTGTTGTGTTTGAAATGGCATTTAAAACATTGCTGCACAAAGTATGTTTGTCTTAATCTTTAAAACTGTAAGTATAATTAATTTACTGTAGATGGTGCTGTGAAAAGTATTTGCTTCTTACATCAGTAAGAGTTTGGTCATATAGCTGATAGTCTTTTTCAAGCATTGGTCTTAGATATGTTCTGGTTTGGTTGGAAGTCATAGTGTGTGTAGTCATATAAGTCAATTTACAATATAGTAGCTTCACTTTCTTCAGGGAGACAATAATATTGTACTGAATTTAGTCTGGTGTACTGGTTTAGTCTGAGCAATTATTGCTTCCTGTAAAGTTGGTTTTGAGAAAATTTGAGAGAGGGCTAAGCAACTGCAGGGTTTTCTCTAATCAACTCTCCTCTGCTTATGATACGCCAGTTGCATACAGGTTGTGAACTGTATTTACTCTGCATTTATTTTTCATCAAAGATCATGGTAGTATAGTGTATTTTGCAATTTTTCTTTTAAAACACATCTTACAATAAAAAATGCAGTCTTAAATTTACAGTTGAAAGTTATAGTTATTTGGCATTAAATCAAAAGCTTATGTTGGATATGTGCTGCTAAAGGTTTGGCAAAGTGGAGTCATCTTATTTTATAAATAAGTCATGTTTATCTACCTAATGCTCAGTGAGCTAGGGTTAGATCCATGTTGGCTGATTATTTTGTTTTTTAGAGGAACAGAAGAGTAAAGGCAAATTCTACTATGCTCTTTCACCTAGCTAGCAAAGACCATTTACCAATAGAATTATTTTTAATTTGCCATATGCCTGATCTTCTGGAAAAGATGAAAATAAGTTATATAATTTGTTCATACTAAGAAATGAATTCTGCTACAGTTCCAGTATCGTTCTTAATTCAGAGCTTGTTTCTGCTCTCAGATCAGAACTGAAAGAACTCCTCGATCAAAATGTGGGTTTTTTCCATATCTTGAGAAATATCAATGTGAGAGATGGTCTGTCTGTGTTGTGGCTTGAGGAGAGATTTGTCACCTGGTGGTGACAAAGAAAAGTTTCCCAGGAACCAGAGTTGATGGCGAAAATCTGCTGCAGCTGAGAAAGCCAAGGAGATGCCTGAAGCCAGGTCCAAAACCAGTGACTCCTCTGCAACAATAGGGGGCAGAGCTAATTAAAAAATCCCTTTTATTTCTCCTCTGTTTCATATAGTCACTTTGACTTCTGTGCGTTTGAAATTTCATTGTGTCAGTTGATATTCTAGTGGGATCTGGCCGTCAGCAAGGAGTTGATTGACTTTGGGGAACTTATTGCGAGAAAAGGTCTAGGTAATCTGTTTCCAAGCTCTGGTCAACTGTAAGTCTTCTCATAAGTGGGTAAGACTCTTAAGTTTTTAGGGTGTAGCTAAAGATTTAGACAAGAGGCAATAAATGTTAGTCCCAGTCAACTATCTGATTTCAACTGTTATGTAAATTTTCTCATGTGATTTAGGAACATATATGACACGTAGTCAGTAACTTGTCTACAACCCAGAAGACACTTAAAAATATGGCTATGGCATCTCAAAGCAGTGAATTGCAGCATTAAAAAAGCAGGGACCGAGTTTACAAACTCTCCTCTCTCTCCTTAAGAAGTGGAAGGGACAATGACAGTTTTCTCATTGGTACTATCAATAGACTCTCAGTATTCTGGAGAGTTTCATCCAGTGAGATTTTAGTAAACAGTTCTCCATGCTTCCCGTGGTTCAGCAGAAGGAAGAAAGAGTAAATAAATAAAAGCTATGGAAAGAAGAGGTTGTGGTATTTCTGGGCTTGCTGGGTCACGTGGTTGTGACTGGTAAGCATATAATAAATGGTATAGTACTGTCTATACGTGGTGCATGATGTAGGAGTTTCCCATACATCACTGATAACTTGCTGCACTGTGTCTGTAATCAGCATGTATTCTTAACACACGGGGCGGGGGGGAATTAGGTGCTGCTCTTTCGTAAGTCTGACTTGCACAACAAAGTTTTGAGCTTAAACTTGTGTTGGTGTCCATCACGGTCTGAGAAAAAAAATTGTTTTCTGCTTGTTTGGACACAGATTTCATTTTTGTCCGTCAGTTGCAGCTGGTAGTTTAAATCTTGTGAGGAGAAACAATGACTTTTGTTTGCTTGCTTTTTGCAGTTTTATTACTTGGTAACAGGTAGTCCCTACAGAAAGCCTAAAAATGAACTAAAAAAACACAAACAAGGTAATGCACCAAGAAAACCGCTCAGCAATACAGTAAGTTCACTTGGTGTACATTTTCATGTATGTGCTCTAGATCTGTCTTGTTGCAAACTTGCTTATTCTGTTTCATCTACTCAGGGTGAAAATGAGAACTATAGAAGGTTACAACCCTCTCAGTGGTTACAACCAGTAGACCATGAAAATTTTCTTCCAGTGGTTTCACAGAATAAATATAACTAAAGGAGCAAACTGTAGCATCACTACTAGTGGCATTCTTGATCAGTTTGGCTCAAAGGAAAAAACCCACAACTTTCCAAAAGGAAAACCTCTGTAATGGCATGTATTCACTGCTGGGTTTAGGTGAGGTGAGTAGCTTGGACCTAGGAGGGATCATTTCATTTGGAGAACAGAGCTCCAAATACTACAGGCCTACAACTACCCCAGAAGAGTGTCATTCTACCAAAGATTGTTCAATTATACTTTTTTTACAGAGGTCACTGGTGTACCTTGTAGCATATGTTTGTACTTAACACGGTGGTGTCTTTAAAATATTTAAAGAGTAAGAGACAGACTGGCTGGGCAAGAGGTGGAGATAGGAAGGGAACGGTGCTCTGTTCGTCTAGAATGGCAGCCCTACACAGTGGGGGACTACTCAATATTGCGGTTTTCCTACTGGGCAAAAAAATTTTGGTGAAATGTACAGACAGGTTTGGAAAAGTAAAATTCATTTAAAATATGTTGAACTGCATTGTTTTTGTTTGTTTGCTAAGCCTGTAAATGAAAAGCTACACTTAAATGGGTTGCATTAAAACTATAGAGTTTTCCAGTAAAAATCTTTTTGTTATCAGGTCATGGAAGTAATAATAAAAAATTCCTGTCCTCCTCCCCTAGTTTTTCATTTCATTGTACTCTTATATATTCTTTTTTATGTAGACTTTTCAACGTGAAAAAAAAGTTTGCGTGGTTTCTCTCTCCTAAGCTTATTTACTGTATCTTTACTGTTTCTAGCTACTGGATTTTAAGTATGGAGATTGTGCTTTCAGTAGATTGCTTTTGCTTATAGAGGGTATAAAATAATAATGAGAAATCCGTTCCTCAAAATGTTGCTTCCTCTTCCAAAAATATACTTGTCTTTTGCAAGTTTGCTAATACTGGAATGAGAGTATAATAAAGAACAGTATTAGGTGGCATTCATGACAGGCTACCAGTTTAAAATGTGTGTCCAGTGCTACTGTTGCACCAATTATCCCTGACCTTTTTTTCTGGCCTTGGGCTATGATGTTATTAAAGACGACTGATTCAGGAATATTTTCTCTCTAATATTAGTTTAAGCAAATTTCTGCATGGACCTAACTATTCTGGTAGGGTTCTTTCTGTTAAGCTGCTAAATTTTTTGCAGAATTGGTTTAATTTTTTTAGAAATGTTAATAACTAGTGCCCTGCCCTATGTATCCAAACTATTGCAACTGAAGTGATAATACGTGGCATTTTTTCTGTAGTCTTTCACTACAGGGAAAGCATAGCTATAAGGAACATACATGCAGGTTCTTTCTGCTTTAGATTTCAGTGTAAAGTATATTTATGAAGTATTTGATGTGCTCTGTTAGTACACATATTCTGGGTTATTTTTTAATCCATGCATCAAAAGCACATCCATAGTGAGATGCATAATAGGCACAATTTAGGAACTTCTGAATTTGATGTTATTGAGAGTTGCTACACTGTCATTACTATTTCCATACTTGCAGTACAGCTTGAGAGTGAAGGAGAAAATACACACCTCCCTTGTTCAGTTTCAACATCTAATTTGAATCTTTTATGCAAGCCATCTGAAGTGCTGCCACCGCTTGTTTAACTTCTGTAAGATAAAAAGGAGTTGAGGCAATGGAATATTACTGCTTTTTAATGACTTCTGGTAATTTTCAGATGGCATTCAGACACTTCCTTTAATTTAATATGTGCTTTTCTAAAAAAAATAAAGAAGAAGTAGGTGCATATTTTACATCAAAGTTCATCAGAATTCTGGTAAAAATGTTATAGTTTTAGGAATTTTGTGTCTTCTGCTTGAAGACATAGCTATGCTTGAAATTAAAGGCTGACTTCTATGTTTACCTTGGCATTGATTATATTAAATAATTTCTTGAGAGTTAGGTTTCTGGGTGCACAATCCTTATTTATCTAAAACATTCAAATAAAAATCTTCAGTCAAAGCATGTCTGCCTTCCTGAAAGCATTGTGAGTCATTTTGTATGTGGCAGTTTTGTAAAGAAACTGATTTTTGACATGCTTACATCTGTCTGTGAATTGATGAGAAGATTGATCAGTGTTAGAATCCAATAATGTGGTAGGTGCACTTTTAACAGATCATGATTTGTGCTCAATGAAAACGGTGTTTGAGTAGCCTTGTTAGCTGTCTTTCAGTTGAACAGTGTGTCATCGTCTTTATCATTAAGTATCTGTTCTGAAATTAGAAATACCCATAATGGACTATTAAAACGCCCATCTCAAGTTAAAAAAAACCAGTATGTATTTTAAATGTATTTTGTCATGTTTTTAAACATCCTGTGATAAAGCACTAATATTCCTATTGTTCTGTTCAACTAGTATC